GGGGGGGGGGGGGGGTCGTTCAATATCTAAGCCCAAGTATAATTGTCTACTGAATATAGTTAAGTATAGAGGAACTGTTAGATGAGTGTCTTTTTGAGGGGCCATCTCCTTACGCGTTAAAAGATAAAAGAGACCCCTGATAGATATTATAAGAACTGGAATACCAACAATACGTTACAAAATACCGAAGTCGAGAATAAGGATATATTCTTATATCAGAGAAAGACTTTGATAGATTCTCTGAAATCCAGGTGAAATACCAGTTCCTAGAGAACCCCATGATTTTCATCAGACTCTACCTGCGCCCCGGAAACCCATAGGGAAATCCCACTGATATTTCCCGGCGATTTTATCAACCCGGACCCGGGATAGATAATTCCCCGAGCGTAAGATTCCAATTTATCAAAGAAAAGAAAAGGAAAATACATGAGACTAACAAAGAGGAAATTTCGATTTTTATAAAAAAAAACCTATGACGTATTCATTCTGAAATATCCACGCGCGCACATGGGAATTCTTACCCCTGTTCCCTCCAACCTATGTCACCCGCTCTCGTACTCTTACTCCTGTCTTTTCTTCTTTTGTATACCGCGCGCACCTCTGCGCATGCGCGTACCGAATTCCTAGGGAAATTCAGGTTCAGCTCAAACACCCAGGCATTGGGAGAAAAGTGAAGATAGCAGAGCCGATCGGATAGTCAAGGATTCTGGTTATAAAAAAACAGAGGAGAAAAAACCCTGAAAATAAATAAAGAAAAGCTAAAATAAAAAGATTGCAAAGAAAAGTTACAAGCGTTCGAAAAACGTTCGTCTGAAGATTCAGGTTTTCAAAGAGCATGGCAATGTTTTCGTACTCGCCATAAAGAAGATCGAGATTCGAATCTTGGTTCGAGTCTTGGCTGAATTTGCGGATGATATGTCGTTACCGTTCGAAAGTAATCATTCCCGTCCAAGACGATTCCGTCTCACGTTCTCGACTCCGACGTCGGACGTCCGCAAGAGACAAATTCGCCGAATAGAGAAGACTCATGGCTAACGTAAACTTTACGCTGATAGTTCGGTCCTATATAGAATTCCTGGATGATTTCATCGTTTTACTTTTTTCTTCTTCCTTCTTTACTATCTTTTATTCACTCATCATTTATCTCCTCCATCCTCCATTACGTACTCTAAGCAAATTTTTTTTGACAAATTCACAAATTTTTTTCTAAAACTTTCGACCAAAACTTATATAACATTCCCATACTTTCTCCCTCACTTTTATCTTTCTCTTGATCTCTCATCCTTCAACTCTATTCCGACAGCGGTGTAATAAAGGTTTACGGTATTCTATATGATACCACGAAAAGATACGGTAAGAAAAAAAAATTGAAAAAAAGTGTGAGAGAGAGAGAGAGAGCAATAAAATAATAAAATTTTCTAAGCTCTCCGCCACATTGAATACAGGGTATTTCACAAAACTTTTATCACCCTTACTTTTTTTTTCCACATTCCCAACACTCGCTCCGTGCGACCGTATCGAAATTGTGAAGAGGCAGTCAGGTGAAATGAAATATAAATAGAATTCTATGAGCAGTCTATATCTACACGGTTCTGATATGGAGAAGTAATAAATTTTCAATTTATTACCAGACGGAACGAGGACATTTCGGTAATAATTTTTTTTACAATTCTGAGTATCTGAAAAACAAACCATTTTAACGGAAAAAAAAAAAATTAATTTATACTGACAAATCAAGATACCAGACTCGTCAGCGATTATGAAAGTAAGAATCACAACAGCAAACAGTATCTTGCAATATAGTATTAGTGGCAACAGAAAAGTATAGTATATGGGAGATATCCGGTATAGCATATGGGAGAGAACGAAGGAGTCAGGTGAGGCCACTGGGTCAGGACCTTTTAAAGATACGTGGGGGAAGCGGCTAATCGAAAAAGTTTTACAGTCGAGAAAATAGCGGAATGGGGGAAGGAGGAGGAGAGCACCCTAAGGAGAACGCCACGGTATTGCACAAGAATGAGGACGGATTAGGGGCTGTTTCTGGAAATCCTTACGCATAAGGGTTGAACTTGATGAATTTCGTAAAACCACCAACCGGAACAAGGGTCGCGGGCTTTTTGTTCATTTTATACTACCTGTACATAGGACTGGCACTGTTATGACACTTTTCTGTCTCTTCCTAGCATTTTCGCTCTCATTTTTTTTTTTAACAGCCTGTATACACAGGTCTCATTACCCGCGGATTTCTCATTGCAATAACTTTGCATATTCGCGTTTTTGAGTTTGATGAAATGCGGATTTAAAAATTTGTTTTAAACATATTTCTTGAATACGCGAGGAAAATTACATAGAAAAAAACCTGAGACAAAAATTACTGACTAACAAGAATTTTTCATAATACTTATATTCTCGCTAGTTTTTACAAAAAACTTTAATACACTACGCACGTATATTCATGAATTACTTCATTATAGTATCCAGTCGCCGTAAATAATACACATGCTAAAGTGTCTATATCGAATCAGTTCTGAATTCGAATAAAAAAAATTTCAAATGCCTCCCAAGTAGATGTATTTTTTCAGCATCTTATTGCCATAAGAATCCCATCAAAATATTTCCCACTGATAATGGAAAACGGTTCGTTATCTTTGGCAAAAGAAAATCATTGAAAATTGACAATTTTTCTGTAGGATGGCTAAAGATCGCGATGAAACAAGAAAAGTACATATAGGGACCATACAGTCGACTTGGGAGGCATTTCAAAATTTTTTATTAGAATGATACGAAATATAAACTTTAGCCTATATATACATTTGTTTTCTTTCAATATTCAAAGCATTTTCCCAGAACCCACCCGTAAGGGGAAATCCCCCCCGAACATAAACAATTTACCGAACACTTATTACCCGCAGTTACAATAGTTACCATGGCAACTATTAGACTGTATAGGATTAACGCATACAGAATAGCCTAAAATGATTAAAGGATGGGAGGGTAAAATGACGAAGAGGGGTAGATAAGGGGTGGCAAGGTCAAACAAAGTATAACCTTTGCAGACCTTTTAACAGACGATACTTTTTTTTTCAATTTTCACCCTCTTTTTTCTCATCCCCATTTTCGCTGCACGACGACAATTTCATTCTAACTTCCCAATGGAGTTAACTAACCGAGTTTTGGGAATTCTCGTTCGGACGTTTCGTAGTATGCTGAGACTAAGTAAGCCCGACGGTATTACAATAAAAAGGATTCATCCCCTATCATCCCACGTAGTTCTCATTCCTCGGCACAGAGTGAATTTGCCCGCTGAGGTCTAACTAAAAAATAAATAATTACTGAAAAACTTGGCACGGTGCAACAAAGACAAGATTTCTCGTCCTGAGGAAAAACTTTGAATTACCGTAAAGGGGTTGTAGTTTTTCTATTGTCGAGCTGTATAAATTGCACCAGCACGACCACCAACCTGCAACTCTCGTAGCACCCCTGCACTTGTTTCTTTCTAAAGTTTTTGTTCTCCAATTTTTTTCTGCCATTCTGCAAATAGTTATACTATTGTGCTTCGTTAAACGCGAAAGAAAGATAGAAATAGGGAGAGAAAGAGAGAAAGAGAGAAATGGAATAATGGCCATCCATGGTGAGAAGCGAAACCTTGAGGGCTTCGCTTTCGTTATGTTGGCACGATTATCGAGCGCTCACGCAAAGCTCGGCCTTGTCTTACTCGTATATGTATAGTATATGCGAGTATAATAAAAAGATCCGCTCCATCAGTTCTTACATAATATTTTATCCTTTCTAAATTCAGCGAAATTCTTTGTTTCGGACTTATCGTTCCTCCTAATTCACGTTCCCCGTAAACAAATATAGGTTACTTGCAGTATCACAAATCCACCAATTAGTAACATTTGTCAACCTCTTTTCTTTAACCGTCTTTATAAAACTTCGAATCATATCAAACAGAGACTTTCTATATCTTGTTATTACTTGTTAAAACTTTTTTTAAAACTCACATTCAAGAAAACACATTTCACAATTCACCGATCCCACAAACGATTTTCTACCTTCGATCGTCCTCATTTCTATTTCTCTTTGATTCTTCATTCTCATTTGCGTCCTGTTATTGATTCTCTGGCGACAGTCTGCAAATAAGTGATCACTTCTTTCGGACGTATTTTTTCTCATAAGACGACTGTTTTCTTATCCCATGTTCTCGTTGTAGCGAACCATTCTCAAGGCCAAGTCTCGCCATCTATGTCAGCCATTAATATAAATTGTAATGATAACGTGGCGACACCTATTCGCATCTATAGTAACTAAATCGAAATCGACTTCGAAGTCGCCATCTGTTAGTAATAAAATTAGGATATACAAGAAATACCGACCTAAAACACATCCACGAACAAATGATCATTTTGAGAAACAACGTAATTGACTTTATTCTAAATCTTTAACATATTTAAGTAGTATATTATTAGTGATTCGGTTCAACAGTGTTAAATCATACCGTTAAAAAAAGTCATCAATGGGTTTTTATATACGAACTATTTAATATATTACCGCAAATGATAATCCTTAATATTTTTTTTTTTTTTCAATGAAAAGTATTTTTACATCGTACATTCCACATATATGATTTTCTTTTATGGGACTGCCAACTTTTTAACAAGTCCAAAAAATAGCATTGACATCTAAATAACGAAGTTTAGTACAGCTTCGCTCGTTCTACTGAGAGCGAAGAATTCATTTTTGTACTATCACATAATTGTTTGAATAGTAGAAATACTGCATTAGTATTGCACGCTGATAAAAAAAACACTTCAGCTGGTTCAAAATCAGAAATCAAAATTGACTCAATACTGATTCCCAACTTCGAAAATTCCTATCACTACAATCTGGTACCATGCTTGGACTGATGTCAGAAATTCACTTGCGTCTACAATTAGTAATTATACTTGGGCCAATGTTGATTCCAAATTTATAAAAGATATAGATGGCTGCAATTGGGTATGACCTTTGTACCAATGTTATTTGCCAATTCATAAAATACATATTTGTCTACAATTGGGTGCCATGGCTGGACCAATACTAGTTTTCAAGCCAAAGAATCGTTTCATCCTACATTTCAAAAATAAATGGTCATTCAATCTTATATCAACATTAGACAAGCATTTCAGTCCCGTTTAATTGGTTGCCATAATAAAGCCAATGTTAGGTCAATATTGAAGACAGCCTGCCAATATTTGAATTGCTATTTGAAATATATATACATACATTGGGACATACGATACGATCTCTTTATGATTCTATATATATATATATATATATAATATGTATACAATACAGGGTGAACCACGAATCGTGATCAGTAGAAAGTACTTTGTTATTAGCAGTCCGATCGAAAATGTTTTTATCAGCTTTTGCATGATTTCAAGAGAGCTTTAACGTGCTAGTGAAAAATTACTGGTCAACTCTTTTTTAAAATGTTTTTTCAAGGTTACCTTGAAGTTTTTGCAACTAAACATATAATTTTTTTACGCCTGTCTGTTAGAGGATTTCAAGACGAATTCGGCACATGTAAGGACATGACATTTTTTTCATCTGGTTCGAATGAAAATTAAAAAACTTTCTATCACAAGGAGAATCACAGCTGCGCCGTTATTACGCAACCAATGTTGT